GGTATTCCCAAAATATGTTTTGATCCCTGTCAAAAGACATGGTTTCTTTAGAAATTTCAAATGCCAAGACTGGTAGACATCAATTACACTGCTTAACACATCTCTACTAAATATATCACTTATATTAATAAGATTATATACATGTATATATGTATGTGAACGAGGGTGGGCTGAAAAGTTCATAGACTGACTATGAAGGAGTGAGACTAGACCTGTTAAATCTTGCATGCATTAATTTCAAATCTTCTTCTTAATAAGTGTATTGTTTCTTTCCAGGTATAAGGGTAGGCTGAAAAGTTCATAGGCTATGAAAGAGTGATGCTAGAACTGTGAAATCTGCATGCATCAATTTCAACTCTTCAACTGCATTGTTTCTTTTCAGGTACGAGGGTGGGATGAAAAGTTCATAGACTGACTGTAAAGGAGCGATGTTAAAGGTGTGAATTCCAATTTTATCAAAAGTGCAAAGGTGGGCAGCTGAATTTAGGAGGGAAAGGAGAGTCTTGAAGATGAGCCAAGATCTGGACATCCTGAAAGTGCCATTAATGAAGAAAACATTAATCCTGTTCACCACATAGCGATGGATGACAGGTGATTGACTATAAACCAAATAACCAAGGCTATTAACAGATACTGTGAGAGAGTTGAGAAAATTCTGCTTAATGAATTTGGTATGATGAAAGGTTCTGATTGGTGGGAGCCACATCTTCTGACAAAAGCGCACCAGGCTGATCCCATCACAGAAAAACTGACATTGTTTGAGGCAGACCCACCTGGTTTCCTTGAACATTACCTAACCCAGGCTAAGTGTTGGATACAGTACTTTGAGTCACAAAGACAAAGACACAATCCATGCAGTAGAAATACCCCTCCTCACCTGCTCCAAAAATGGTCACAGTCGTTTCATCTGCAGGGAAGGTGATGGCCTCAATTTTTTTTAGAATGCAAAAGGCATTGTGTTTATTGATTATCTTCAAAAGGGCTACACTATTAATGGAGAAGTACTAGGCTGACTTGCTGAAGGAGCCACGAAAGGCTATCATGATCAAAACTTCCAGAAAAACTGACAAAAGGGGTCTTGTTTCATCATGACAATGTTCCAGCACACAAATCCTTGGTTTCAATGGCTGCCGTGTATAGCACTTGCCTGGGAACCAGTATTGCAGTGATGATGATGTATATGCTGTTGATGAGTTTTCTGACCAACAGGAGGGAAGCTTCTTCACCAATTAGATTCAAACGCTGCAACGCCAATTGAGTGAACCTCAAGGAGGGGGGGACTATGTTGAAAAATAAACCTCATTTGATCACATGCCATGAGAGGATCTTTGTCAGCCTATCAACTTTTCAGCTGACCCTTATAGACCCACACAGAGGATTATGCTTTTTGTGTGTGTATATATAATATATATTCGTTTTCTTATGTATTTAGGCGGGTCCTATTTTTAATAGTTTTAAAGGAAGTTTTTAATACCCATAAAAATAACATCTTTTTTTAACTTACCCATTAACACCTGTTATGTACTCTGCGATTTTTCAAAATGGGTGTCTACTTATTAATGTTCCAAAGATCTATTATTTTTTTTTTTTTTTTCAGTTGAATAATTTCATAAACAGTTTAATAAAGGAATAAACAAAATGAATTAAATGATTTTGAACTGTCAGCATATTGATGTATTGCTTTAGAAAAATGTGAAAATGAACAACAGACCTCAAGAGTGTTAATAATAAACAACCATATTTTTTTTTTTTTTTTAAAAATCACAAAGTGTGAAAACAGCATTAATCGGTAAAAAAAATAAAACTTATTTTCTATCTGTATGTATGTGTATTGTGGTTCCTGATTAAGCCGAATACAATGGGACCAAGAATTGTTTTGTTTTTTGTTTTTTTTGAAAGTGGCTATTCCTTTGAAAAGATTTGCATGAAAAGACACTAATTTCATTCTTGCGCAACTGGTGCTCCTTAGCCATTACTCTTTGCAACCAATGTTAATTAGAATCCATTATATAAGTCATAATTAACCTATGCATAGAAATCAAAATTATTATATAACTATAAAACTTATGCATTTTCTGCTATCAATATCAAAGCATTCAGCTGACATAATAGAGCTTAAATGAATATCGTTTGTATTCATAATATCACATACGAAAAGGAAGTTAAAAAGAAAAAAAATTTACTTATCATATCAAATGAATAAAAAACCTTTTGTAAAAATTGTTTTTAAATTAAATTTCCAGAATTTCAAATAATAATAATCAAATAAAAAACAAAAAATAAATTAGGGGGAAAAACTGCAAAAAGGATTTGAAGTGGACAGACATCAAGGAGACAGGTCAAGATAAAAGGCCCTTAAAGGTAAAAGGGTATTTTGGTAGGGTAAGAAGGTGGTGGGGACAGACAGGGTTGGGGGGATATGTATAATAATTAAGAATGGTTAAGTGTGATACCACTGGCTTGCGTACAGAATAACATACACCTAAAAAAAACCACGAAGTCAGCAGGCCAAGAATGTTTCATGCTTGGGGACATTGAAACAAGCATTTTGATTGGCTACAACGACAAGCAGTTTGAGGAGTACAACACAACAAAGCAGGTGCCCTGGCAGGCAGCAATAGGACAACCAATCAAATTGAACGAAACAAGCATGACCACATCAGGGAAGGGGGAGATAATTACACATTGGTAACCGCCTCTTTTCAAAAAAAAAAAAAAAAAAAATATATATATATATATATATATATATATATATATATAGAAAAATTTGGATGAGAATTCGAACGAATGGTAAATATATAAAAACAATATGGGAAACTTTCATTGACATGTTTCACTCATCAAACAGCTTTGTTAGAAAAATGGATTCTATTACAACTGAATTTACAATGGCAACACTGAAAAGGATTTAGGCTAATCATATGAAAACTATATAACTATATATATATTTTTTTAATTACTTTAGCAGAATTTGAACACACAATGCAATATTATACCAGTGAAAATTTGACCATCAAAATTTTAACCTGGAATATGTGACTTTATCTAAAAAAAATAAAAATAAAAATAAAATAAAATAAGTAATTTTGGATGAAGATAAATTGAAAGTGGTATTATCCATGAATCCCTAACAGCTGACATATGGGTATTTTCTGGCTATCATTTATTCTTACTAAACTGGTGTTGAAATAATGTGGGATATGAAAAATCTTAAAACAAATGAATATGTAAATAAAAACCTGACTTGAAATTAACTATATATAAAAACAGGTGTGTGTGTGTGTGAGTGTGTGTGTGTATATATATATATATATAAAAATAAAAAAACAGGTAAATATAAAGATAATAAATCTGTCTATATTTATTTATACAGATAAATAAAAAAGAGAAAAGAAAGGAGAATCTGTGTTCATATGACTAATGCCAGTGTAGATATGTTTGAAATAAAATCCATCTTTCTGACGACGCTGTTTGGCTAGGTAAACATGTCAATATAAGGCTTTCCCAAATTGTCTCATATATATATATATATATATATATATATATATATATATATATATATATAATAAATAAAAAATTAAAAAAAAGAGAAAGAAAAAGAGAGAGAGGAGGAGTTAAAAAAAAAATAAATTTTAATCCCCAGACCTTAAGTTATTTGTTAACATGCAAAGCTCAACAACCTTAATGTATTTTTATCGAGGATGGAGATTTTTATATATATATATATATATATATATAATAAAATGTATGTATGTATAGAAGGTTGAAGCATTACACTGGCCAAAGAACATGCTGCGGAGAGTTCAACGAGGATACCTTAATATTTACACCTCCGTGGAGTTTTTCGTTTCTAACTCAGCAGTCTGATCACACTTTTCATGCATTGATCTGAAATGAGAAGATGGCCAGTGCAGAAAAGTTGAACGACTTTTATGAACACAACGGGTACAACAGAGTCAAAAGATTTCAGCAAAAAGGGACTTCAATCACAATAGTTGAAATTGTCCCATCAAAACTTTGAGGAACTGACGGCGGAAGACAAAAGAAAGAATGAGACCTTCTTTAATTACTGTCTGATTTTCTAGGAGCAAGAACTGTTCTTGTCATTACAATTATTCACTGATCTACTCCGACCTGTCTTTGGAAGGTACAACAGCAAAAATGTTGTGACTGCAAACAACCAAGATGAAGATAGCCGTCAAAATAGATCAGTGTATAAAAATAAACTTCTAGAGTTTTTTTCGTTTCTTTCTATGGCCAGCACCAAGAAGATACTAAGAATTTTCAAAAAAGTCTGTTCGTTTCTTTAAATTGTACTACCATATATACCAGTGCATATCTGAGTCTGTCTTTACCAAACTTTCAGGGTATTAGACAAAATGGATATCAGTAGAAGTTCGACCGATACACAAGCAATATTCCCCTGATGTTGAAATATATACTCAGAATACTTTTTACTAAATTACTTGATTCATGTACAGGACAAAGGGCAGGATAGGAGCTGAATGTGTAGAGGTCGACCCACTAATTTGGCCTAAAAATTTGTTAAAGCTTCGAGTCAAACACTAGTATTTATGGTGGATGTTGCAAGAAAGGTGATTAAAAATTTTTTTAAAAAAGCCTCCCCTCCAAAAAATATCTTAAAAGTTAATTAGAGAATCACTTAAGTTGTAAATAATGAGAAAGAGAAGAGGAAAGTTAAAAAAAAAATTGTAAAAAAAAAAATGAGGAAAGGAAACATGCTGTAAAGAGAAAAGTTACCTTTTATCAATTTAACGATTCTATTTGTCTCACCAGCCCTCGGTTTTTAATTAATTAATTAATAGAAATAGTTACAATCATTATCGTTTGCTTAGTGATTAGCAGATAAGCTTTACTATTTATTATTCTGCTCGAGTACGGCACAAGTTTGCAGTACTCGGCATCGATAGGCTATCACAGAAATTGAAAACTTTTCTGCATTAGCCGCTAGTGGGCTAAAAAAAAAGAATGCTCCCTACCTGCACGGCTTGCACCACTGATTCTGTTGGTCTAGGCCGAATCTAGCCCGGCATTTCTTTGGATTTGAGCATTCTGTAATCAGAACGGGTCAAAGTCAGGAACACATGCATTGTCTTTTGGTAGGATCGATTCTGTCATGGACGATTGGAAGAGGAGGAGGAGGAGGAGGAGGAAAGAGGCAAAAAAGATTGTGAGTGAGTGAGTGGGGAGGGGAGGGGGTTAGAGATATTAAAAATTGTGTGTGGGGGGTGGGGTTGGACTACAAACTACGCATTCCTCTGTCTCTTGAGAAAGAGCAAAAATAAATAAATAAAGAAACAAATAAATAAAGAAATAAATAAAAGGGAGGAAGAAAGGAAAGAAACAAGAAAGGAAAACAACAACAACAAAAACAAAGCAAATGTTGAATTTTTTTTTTTTTTTTTAAATTTGAAAAAGCTGTTAATTTTTTTTGGCATTTTGAATTTGTTTTCACTCAATAAATATCAACAGAATAATACAAAAAAACAAAAAAAACAAAAAAATCAAACTGTACATTATAAGAGAAACCACTTTTTGATCCAGTGTGCCTTAGACTGCTCAGCCACAGTGAGCTGACAGCCCAAGGTTCTATTTTCCCTTTTAAGGAAAGCATACTTCCATGTTCAGAAATTTCTTCTCAAAAGCCCATATCTGCTTGGATTTGTATCCAAAATATAAACAAAGCAATTTCCTATGAATTAACGTATTCCTTTTTATTACTTCAAACATAATTTTTAGGGGATACCCATATTTGAAATAGACGCCCTGCTTTTATTTTAAACAGCATGTATTATATCTATTAGCCTATGCACTCATGCTTTCCTTAAAAGGCAAATACATACAGACACACACAATACTTTGTTTTTTCATTTCAACAGTAGGGGGCAGATATGACAAATTTCTATATATCAGAACACTGTCAGGAAGCTTAATGACGAAGTGGAAAAATTTTGTGTAACATGTTTCAAGGACTTCATCAGACTAAAATAATGTTCTTTTATAAGTATAGAAATATTCATTTAGTCTGACTTTTCCATCTTGTCTTTAAATTGCCTAATATTTATATAAACCAAATTGCAACACCCTGAAGAATGATACCAATTTTGACCTGGGTACTGAAATTGGTGTGCAAGTCATATAATGATCAATGGCTTGAAACAAGAAATTATCAAACCATCTCACCTGGTCCTAGCTATAGGTCAAATAACAGTGTAGGCTGGACTCCCTAGCTGTGGTTAGCAAAACCTGTTCCCAAATAACACACAGGTCCAACTTCTGACACATCAGGTGCTAAAACTTACAACTGTCAAATGTTTTTCAGGTTTCTGGAGAGGATGTTAAACCTGGTCATGTGCATCCATAACAATATTTAGTTTATTCTGCTGCCATTAATGCAGAAGGAAAGTGATATGCCTTTTTCAGCAGAATAATGCCTACCCACATGATGCCCATGCTACTCCTCATGTGCTGCAATATGGTCGACAACTTTCCTGGCTGGCATAATTTCCTGGCTTTACTCCCTATGGGGCATAATGGAACTATGCTTGACTCCTTTATTTAGCCCACATACAACTCTTGCTGCATTGCATCAAGAGGTGCAAAATTTGTATGATCAGATGAGTGTAACAGAACAGATTTGTGTTAATCCCCAAAGAGGATTGATCTGTAGAGATCATTTACTGTTAACTGGCTATATGTTTAATTGTGAAAATTGGAACATATTCAGGATATTGCAGTATATATATATATATATATATATATATATATATATATATATGGTGGGTGGAAAGAAACTCCCTATTGAAAATTAATTATAACATTTAATATCACCACATTTGCATGAAACAAAATATATTGTGATCTCTAAAGTGATAGAATTTTGATGCTAATTTCTGATTTTATCTCAGAATAAAAAGCGTAGCCCAGAATGGCACAATGCCTTACACTGTATGAGAGTACTCAGCTTTGATCCTGTTACAAAGCGTGGCAGTCTGTGGTGGAAGTGCAGAGATGGTGACACAGTGTTTATGGATCATGAGTTTCAGTAGATGCCAAAACCATTAGCAAGTTTTATTCCAAGCTGATGTATATGGGATCTGTGGCTGTCTGCCAAGATGGAAAAAGGTAGAATTTTATCACTATACTGGACTTCTACAATTATACTGTTAAAAATATGTTTTATGATAACTGACCAATAATTAATAAAGTTATTAACTATTTTAAATAAGGAGTTTCTTTACACTCACTCTACGTATGTATGTGTATATATACATGTGCATGTGTGTCTAGAAGATAAACCAAATTGTAAAAAAGGTTGTTTATGAAGTCCAATCACATGTGTAAAAAACTTATGAATAGAAAATTCAATTTACTATATATATATATATATATATATATATATATATATATATATATATATAGATAGATAGATAGATAGAAGAAAAATCAATAAATGAAAGTTAAAAAAAAAATTCCTGAAATGAACAAAAATCCCAAAATATAGCAGTGTCATTATTTCATATATTTTACAAACTTTTGTTCCCATCATTTTTTTTTAAACACTGTTTCAACAGATACATTCTTTGACCTTCTTCAGGTATATGGCTTTTTTTTTTTAACCAGCCAACAAAGTACTACCAACATATGTATTAACATGCAAAGAATATGTAGATAGTGACGGATCGTGTGGGTAATGCAATAGATATTGAGACAGTAAGTGAAACTGTTGAGATACATTTTAATTTTGGGCTAGTCAAGTGCAATCACTTTCACACTAATATCCTTGCGAAAGACAGATATCCACCTCTTTGACTCCCAACCAACACTGCATTAACTCTTTCATTAATCACCTCAGATTTACAGAAATGCATAGTCCCCTCCCATGAAAACTGTGCTACAACTGAGCCCCACCCCATGTGACACACCCTCACCGAGTCAGGAGAGTAGTTGGAAGGAGCAAAAGAAACAAATTGTCAACTAGGAGTTACAAGTACTTTAAAAATTTGGGGGTAACAAAACACCCCATATGACTAAGACAGGGTTAAATAGCAAGGTAGACTGGGTTCTCTAGCCTTGTCTGGCAAATCCAGTTAAGAGAAAGAAAAATTAATTCCATACTGTAGAGTCATGATTGCCTATATCCTCAAGGAACATGAACGTAAAAAGAAGCTGTGGAGAGTCATAAATGCCTACATTCTCAAGGGACATGGCCTTAAAAAGATAACATGTGGACAAGCAAAACTAGAATGTATTTTCAGATTGACCTTTCTTTACAAAACTCTTATAAGCAGTTCTGTGACTGTGTGGCCATATTTTAGTTAGTGATAAATGTGTGTGAGGGTGGGGGGAGAACACCTGTAGAAGGTCAAAATATGTATGAACCAAAACATCATATTGAAAAAATAAAACAGTGAAAATGGTGAGAATAAAGTAAAGTTACTTCTAAAAATAAAGGATTAATCAATTTTAAAGTTTTTTTTTTCTTCTTTTAAACAAGTCTAAGAAGAATTTAAAACATTTCATTGGTTTTAATTTTCTTTTGCAGATTAATTAGACAAGGAGTTATTCATTTTAAAAAAGTTACATAAGAAAGGACGACCGGATTTAAAAGGTTTATTTTGTTCTTGTGTATTTAGTCCACTTCATCAGAATTCACTTCTAGATTTAGGACAATAACAGAAGAGAGTGGGGGGAGGAATTTATGTGATTTAGAATTATAGCAGAGGATAGAAAAAAATACAATTTAGGACCACAACGAGAGAGAGAGAGAGAAAAAAGATTTAGGGTCAAAAACTGGAGAGAAATAAAAACAATTTAGGATGTTAGCAGCAGATAGGAAAAAAAAATAATTTAGGACAATAACTAGAGAAAAAAAAACATTATTTTGTACCAAAAACTGGAGAGAGAGAGAAAAAAACAAAACAAAATCAATTTAGGAGAGAAAAACGAGAGAGAAAAAAACCCAGATTAAATGTGACCAGATTCATGACAAATTCATGCATAAGAGAAATCAAAAGCAATTTGAATTTATTCAGAGAGAAATTATTGCAGAATCTTAAGAGGCAAGACAAGTATAAATTATTATTTTTTTTTAAGCTAAGATCTTGATTGTTTTTTACGGTTTATCAACCCTTTATGAGTTATTGAAAGCTAAAATATATTGTAGATTATAAAAATATTCTTTTTTAAATTGAACTTTGCATCAACAATTTTTGAGAATATCAATGATTTTTACAGACATGTCCTACTATTTAACCCTTAGTTGGAGGGAGAAGTCACGGATTCATACATTTCCCAAGAGTATTTGAATGTAATGAGTATAAACAAATATAACGAACACAGCTGGAATTTGAACTTGACTCGCCAATTTCTCATTCAGAGCTGCTATCCAGTGCACCACCTGCCCATCCCCTCAGATCACAAAGGATATTCACTGCTAAAATTCTTTTGAGTTTGGAATGAACCCTCTGAATACTAAACGACTCCTACAGCAGTTCCCCTTTAGCCATAGTTTTTTTTACCTACACTCAACTCCAGAAATAAACATTTCATAACTTCTACATAACAGGAGTAGATAGGTTAGCCTATCGCCCAGTTCACACTCCTCCTTAGTGTTTTGAACAGGAGTAGAGGTATATCCTTTGTTTCCTGTTTATGATTGGGTCTCCAATTCTTAAGTCTTCTCAGTCTCTTTCACATTCAGTAACCTCTTGCATCTTAGTGGCATTATTGCCTTGCTTGGGATGGATTAAAAAAAGAAAGAAAAAAGGTCCAAATTTTGTGAGCAGCATTTGGAGTGGCTGAACAGTCAAAACTTTGCACAATACCTTCTTCTACAAGTGTGACAGACAAAGCTAGAATACAGCATGAAGGTCTGAAATTACTTTCTGTGTTGTCTTGTGATTTCCGCCAGTTGTCTTTACTTTTTTTTCCACGTCTCTCCTCACCCCTGCCCTTCAAGAATCCTGCCTAACTAAAATGGTGCCAGCCACTGCAATCATTTGCTAGTTGTTCCCAGCCACCAGAGTCAGTGTCTGAGTTACATGTCCCTA